GTACATCTGCCCATCTGCCGTCCGTCGTGACCTCTTCCTTTTCATGTCCAGTGCTCTCACCACTGAACATGGACCAGAGCTGCTTCTAGGGGTGTCCTTTTTAAGGATGCTCTGTTCCGATCTAAAAAAGGCACAGTCTCTCCTTTGGGACACCTGTCCCCCCCATATTTTTTCCCCCCTTGGGGCCGAGGGGGAGCAACACTGAACCCTCTTGGTTCCGTGGCCATTGCCTCCCCCTAGATGCAGTCTCTGTGTCACAAGGAACATGGTTCTGTCCATGGCTATACAAAAAGAGTCCAGCAAAAGCCACTCCATCATCTCTTCCCACTAGGATTCTTCTCTATTCTTCCACTATTTCTCACTCGCCCAGACCTCTCTCACACTTCCACATTCCTTCCTCATCTTCCACTCTATCTTCCAGGAGAGGTCAATGATCTGTAAAGTTCTCATTCTCTGAAAAGAGGTTAAAAGCTCCTACAAGCAGCCGGCTGCACCCCCCCTTCTTCTCCGTCCCTGCCGTGCTGCCGGCACAGGCCCATGTTTATCAAGTCTCAAGGTTACAGTCCCAGGCAGCGGCTCTCTCTCTCTCTCTCTCTGTGTCTCTCGGGGTGGGGGGTGGGGGGGGGGGCTGCCCAATGGCTCCCGGTGTCTCTCTCTCTTTCCCTCTCCCACCCTTCCACCCCCGGGGTCAGGCCTACCTCTCCTGGCCACATGGCTTTCCCCTCCCCCTGCCCAGCCAGCAGCTGCGCTTTCCCGCCGGAAACCCAAAAGGACCCTCCCAGGGGAGAGCTCTGCTTTTAACCCCGTGTTCTCAGAGGCGGATCCATGTCCAAAATGGCCAGGTTAAATGCCAATATTAAAGTCTGAATATCCATTGGCCAAAACACAGCATCCCAAAGAACACATTTCCTGTCAAACCACCACACCCATTTAATTTATCTTTTGTCCCACAGATAACAACCATACTATATCATGCACACAAGATCTCATACCACCCTTGCTGGATTTATAGCAGATGGGAATGCTAGAGCAGATGCCCTAGTGATGGTTGTACAAAACACCCTACCTAATGTTTTTGAACAGGCTAGGATCAGCAGCCAATTCGACCATCAAAATGTTCCTGCACTCGTTAGGATGTTTAAAATTACTTGATACCAGGCAAGATCCATTGTAGCCACCTGCCAAAATTGTCAGGAACACGCCCTTTCTTCTGTCAGAGCTGGAGTCAATCCAAGAGGACTACAGAGTTTCCAGGTCTGGCAGTCAGACATGACATACTATGCCCCTTTTGGGGGACTAAAATACATCCATGTCTCAATCGACACCTTTTCCGGTGCAGTTTTTGCCTCTGCCCATGCTGGCAAAAAATCAAAAGATGCTATAAAACATTACTTTTTAGCCTTTTCCACCTTAGGAGTTCCACAGGAAATTAAAACTGATAATGGGTCTGCTTATACCTCCCTCCGATTCCAACAATTTTCTGACCAGTGGGGTATAAGACATGTCACAGGCATACCACACTCTGCCACAGGACAGTCCATAGTCAAGAGAGCCGACCTTTCCATCAAAAGGATCCTTGATCAACAGAGAGGGGGAGTCCAGATATTATCTCCCATTGAGAGACTGGCCAAGGCCCATTATGTGTTCAACTTTTTAAATAACTCATTTATGGAGCCAACTCCCCCAGTCATCAGGCATTTTACTAATTCGACTGCAGCCCACTTAAAAGAAAAGCCACCTGTGTTGATCAAAGAGCCTGAATCTAAACAAATTATGGGCCCTTTCCCATTAATTACTTGGGGAAGAGGGTATGCTTGTGTCTCTATAGCAGCAGGCCCAAGATGGATTCATTCCAGCAAAAAACATAAAGCCATTTCTGGGAACAGCAAGGCAAACACCAGAGCAACAATCAGAAGAACAGAATGAAAGCCTAAGAGAGACAGCAGCAGCCTGGAAAAGAAGAAGGAGAAGGACAGAAGAAGATCTCCTAAGCAGCATTGACCACACAGACCAAGACCAGGATAGCTCAGACATCACTAACCAAGATATATGACTTAGCATTTGTAAAAACTATGTTTTAGCATTGATATATGTTTCTTCTAATAAGCTGTGTTCAAACCCTTGGCTTACAAAAGAGAAAGTTTAGTGGGACCAGAATTTAAGTTTTACCTTTTAATCTCTTTGTTTACTTTTAGGCTACCCAAGCCTCCTGATACTAAATTAGCTAAAGTCAAAGCATGTCGTCATTTGTTGCCGCTGCAGCAGGAATCTGTACACTCTTCACTATGCTGCATGCCTTCAGCTGGGTGGTTCCACAGCCAAGCCACAATTTCTTGCCCATGGCCATGTCTATGGCTGTCAGACATTTGAAAGCATGTGTTTTTCCAGCCTGTTGTTGCATAGTGAGTCAATACAACAGAGCAACCAGCTGCTAAAAGACTGAGTACATAAGATCTACACAGAAGGCAACAACGACTGGCTCACTGGACTTTTCAAAGACTGGGGGATGAAAGGCTGGCTTTCATCTTTGGTTAAAACTGTTTTGTGGACTTGGTTTAATGCATTCATTGCGCTGGTTATTTTATCCATTTTTGTTAAATGCCTGCAAAAAACTACAGCAGAAGCCTTCTTTTTAGAAGACAAAAAGAGGGGAGTTGTGGAGGCCCAGGGGCCTACTGTTGGAACTTTAACCTCAGGGCAAAAAGAGACAACTGTCTGAATGTAATGGTCTCGCCCATGGGCATTTGCAGACTCATGTTGATGCAGCAGGTTTTGTTGGTACAGAACAAAACCGGGTGCACAGTTGATACACCCAGTTCAACTGCTGTTATTACCTTATATGTACTCCCCCTAGAATGTTCTCCCCTCTCTTGTCCCCTCTTGGTCCTGACTTACTGTATCGCTCTGCCCTTTTTTCTCCCCATAAAGAAGCCAGTGTTCTCAGCCCCATTTTGTCTCTTACCCCAGACCCCCTTCAGTGCAATTAACAGCATTTGGAGTTTTCACACAAGGAACCTGACTCTCACCTCATTTGTCAGCAGTTTAAGCCAGAGTGCTCTGGGCTATTGAAGTACAGGTTGTTCAGAGATACTAGTAGCTGACATGCTGCAACACTGGGAAAATTACTTCTTTTTCCCATGGAAAATGGCCTCTACTTGCAGCCACTCCACAGGCAGAATGTCTGGTGCCAAGCTAGAAATTTGCAAACTTTGCAGGATTTCTCCAAAACTAAAGCAGCCAGCAACAAGGACCCTGCAAGTCCTTAGAGCCTCAAAGGCCACCTTTAATCTGATACACAGACCTTGGGGAAAGGACTTCCTTTTCCATGGAATATGGACTTCGTTTGCAGCCACTTGCACTTGCAGATCATGTGGTGCCAGGAGAAATTTGCAAATTTTATTGGATTTCTCCAAAACTAAAGCTGTCAGCAACTAGGACCCTGAAAGTCCTTAGAGCCCCAAATGTCAGCTCTTATCTGGTACACAGACCCTGGTGAAATGACTTCATTTTCCACTGGAAAATGGCCTCTGTTTATTGCCAGTCGCCCTGGCAGATAATGGGGTGCCAAGCTAGAAATTTGCAAACATTACTAGATTTCTCCAAAACTAAAGCTGCCTGTGACAAGGAGACTGGAAGTCCTTAGAGCCCCAGACGCTATCTTTAATCTGATACCCAGACCTGGGGGAAATTACTTCTTTTTCCCATGGAAAATGGCCTCCATTTTTGGCCACTCGCTCTGTCAATAAAAGGGTGCCAATCATAACATTTGAAATTTTACTAGATTTCTACAAACATACAGCTGCCAGCAACCAGGACCCTGCAAGTCCTTAGAGCCTCAAACACCACCTCTTATCTGATCCCCAGACCCTGGGGAAATGACTTCTTTTTCCCATGGAAAATGGCCTCCATTTGTGAACGCTCGCACTGGCTGATAGTGGAGTGCCAACCTTAAAATTTGCTAACTTTTCTGGATTTCTCCAAAATTAAAGCTTTCAGGAACTAGGAGCAAGCATTTCCTTAGAGCCCCACATGCCACCTTCGAGGAGATATCGAGACCCTGGGGAAATGGCTTCTTTTTCCCAGAAGTAAAATGGCCTCTCTTTGCGACCACTCGCACTGGCCAATACCGGGCTGCAAGGTGAAAAATTTCACAAACTTTGCTGCATTTCTGCAAAATGAAAATTAGAGGGCAGACAGAATTAAGGGAATTGAAATTTATATATTTATCGAAGGGTCTTCACATTAAGGGCAGATGAAGCCTCCCCAAGGGGCTACACCTAAAATCGACGACCAAAAACTTTTCAGATATGTTTGGTCTATTTATATATCAGTGGTTAATCCTCCAAATACAGCTTCAGATAATGAAGTAATATACCCCCAGTTCCACATGTGAGGAGCAAAAACTGTACAGAGGAGGGTCTGAAGCCTTTCTCCCACTTGAGGTAATCAGCCTGATAGATGCAGGCACAGAACTCTCGGGGTATCCTGGAGTGCTGGAAACACTAAAAGGTTTCTTATGCTGCTGGCTTTGCACTAGGGAGGTCGGGACACATCTTGTTCCGCGGCAGCAGAAGGCTGCAGCCTGTCCGGGGAGTGAGTCAAGCAGGGAGTCCTGAGTGCAGGAAGGGAGACCCCGGAGTTCTGTGCACCTGATTCTTGAGGAATTTAGCCCTGCTCCTTCTCCTTCACTCCTTCTTCACTACTTTACACATCTCCCGCGGACCTGGGCAGGCTGCTCGCGTGGCCAGAGCTACTTGTCGTGCCGAGATACACCTGCTGCTTTTCTACAGAGCCTTCCCTACGAGAGCCCGGCCCAGCACGGCGCGCCGCCCGCCGCTACTTCCACCACCGTGGGCAATGGGCAGCGCAGGAAGCGTGTCCTGCGCAGGCGCGGAGTCCCTTCGTTTTCACGGGCTTAGACTCCATTTCCCAGGGGGCATAGGGCTTGCCTGAGTCGCGGTTCGTTTGCGCCATTTCCGCCGCGGTTGCGCTGATTCGTCTTTGTAGTGTTGGCGGCGGGAGAGACGGTGAGGGGCGGGAGGTTCGGGGCAGCTGGAGGCCGTGTCCTTGGCCTTCGGGGTGGGTCCGCTCGTGGGCTCTGAGGCGTCAGGAGGGACCGGCCGGTTTCTGGAGCTGGAACGTCAGAGCCGGGGTCTTCCACGGGCAGCGTGGGTGAAACCGGACGATTCCCTGTTGGGAGGTGTCCTTGAGCCCCTCTGGGCCCCTGGGCTTCGTGAGTGGGCAGGAGCAACCTGGGCTGCATGCGCTGCTGTGCGGCTGCAGCAGGGCACGACTGGGAGGAAGGAAGGGACTTCTGGCACCTGCGCCGGGGCGGGCTGGGCAGGCGGGTCCATGCCAAGCCCGGGAGGTTCAGCGAGGCCAAGGGCAGGTGCTGCAGCTGCATTAGGGCAACCCGACACACAAACAGGCTGGGGGAGAATGGATGGAGAGCAGCCCTGGGAAGGATGTGGGGGCATGGGACATTGACAAGAAGCTCAGCACGCTGTGGCAACGTGCATTGGGAGCCCAGAAAGCCAACACTGTCCTGGGCTCATCCCCAATAGCGTGGGCAGCGTGTGAGGGGGGGATTCTGCCCCTCTCCTCTGCTGAGACCCTCCCCTGCAGAGCTGCCTCCAGCTCTGGGCTCCCCAGCACAGGGAGGACAAGGAGCTGCTGCAGTGAGTCCAGGGGAGGCCACAGAGATGATCCAGGGGCTGCAGCCCCTCTGCTCTGGACACAGGCTGGAAGAGCTGGGGGTGTTGAGTCTGGAGAGGAGAGGATTCCAGGGGGACCCTAGAGCCCCTTCCAGGGCCTACAGGGCTTCCAAAAGAGTTGGAGAGGGACTTTGGACAAGGGCCTGGAGTGACAAAACAAGGCTTTCCACTGCCAGAGGGCAGAGTTAGATGGGATATTGGGAAGAAATTGGTGCCTGTGAGGGAGGTGAGTCACTGGCACAGGTTGTCCAGAGAAGCTGTGGCTGCCCCATCCCTGGAAACATCGAAGGCCAGGCTGGATGGGGCTTGGAGCGACCTGGGCTCGTGGAAGGTGTCCTTGCCCTTGACAGGGGGGTGCAATTGCATGGTCTTTACAGTCCTGTCCAACCCCAACCACCACCCTGTGACTGTGGAAGGCAGAGGCCCTGACATTGAAGCAGTTTTTGAATTTAAAAGCCCCATCAAGTGTCCTCACTGGTCACATCTGTAGTGTTCCTGTTGTCTCCTTGTCCTCTCAGCAGGGTGGCTGCAGAGGCGCCGTGTTTGGATAAGTCAGACCACGTGGCCTGAAGCAGGGAATTGTGCAGAGGATCATAAAAGCCACTGGAGGGAGTTGGTGGTTCTCAGTGGCTGGAAATAAGGAAGAATAATGTTGGAAGTGAGGAGCTGTGCTTTCTAAAAACTAATTCTGTTGCGTAAGACAGTGCTGGAAAGTTGCCAGGCTTTGCAAGGGCAATTAACCATTAGTTGCTAAAACTGATGAAATTGTTAATTACCAAAGCTTTTACTCTGGAAGTTACTAGAAGAGGCTTAGTGATCTGAAAGCTTTGCCCATTATTGAGATGTACAGGGCCAGGGCTTGGACTTGATGATCCTGTTGAGTCCCTTTCAATTCAGGATGTTTCATGATTCTGTAAAAGGGAATGGTACTGGCCAGGGCTTTGACAGGGGACAAGACTGTGAACTTTTCTTCCATGGCTGCAGATTTGGGACACTGCTGTGTCTCACAGGCAAGTGTTCAGAGATTTCAAATGATCAGTGATGTTCCATTTCTTTGTGCTTCTAGATGAAGCTCCCTCTTCTTGTCGTGTTTGCTCTGGTGTCCGTGGCTCACTGTGAGGATGGTGCCAGGCTCCTGGCCTCCAAATCTCTGTTAAACAGATATGCAGTGGAGGGCAAGGACTTGACTTTGCAGTACAACATCTACAATGTTGGCTCCAGGTAAGCCCTGTCCAGGCTTCAGTACTGACCACGAGCACATGTTCTCTGTGTGGCTGCAGGGTTGGCAAAGCAATTTCTGAGCTCCGTGATGTGCTGTTGCTTTTTGCTCTCTCTAACTCTCAGCTTTCCAGCAATGCCTGAAGGATTGACCCTGAAATTTGCCTATTCCTTCCTCTTCCCTGCTTTCACCTCATGGCTGCTCAAGCTGTCAGTCCAGCATGGTATAGTTCCTGTGGTGTCCTGTGACACTCTGTTCCCCATGCCTGCAGCTCCCTTTCTTGGCTTTGTAAGCTTTTTTTCACATTTATTCTTTTTAATGAAAATTCCTTTTTGCTATCAGGATTTAACTAAGGACCTGTCAAAGATAAAACAGAATGGTAAAAAGCTTCATTTGCAGAATGAAAAGCTGACTGGACAAATGCAGGACACTATTAAAGGGCTTTGAGATTTTGGTTTTTTAGATTTTTTTTTTTTAAGGCAGAATAATGCATACTGAGTGCAGTACTGCTAACAGAATAATATATGGTGCAGTAATGTTGAATTGATACAACATTAATGTGATCCTGTAATTTTATATGTGGGATTTGGTTATTATTTAGGCCAGCATGTGTATCCATGGGATGGTATCTGAAGTTCAGCAAACTGCCAAATTGTGTTGTGGAAAAAATGGTGGTTTTCCTGTCCTTGTGTTTGTTTCTCTCAGCTTTGCCTTCCTCCCTCTGCAGTCTCCCTGTAAGATACCTCAGCTCTCCTCCCTGTCTTCTACTGGTGACATTTCATCTCTGAAAAATCAATTCTTCCATTTGGTCAAGATGGAAGTGTCAGTGCACTTTGCTGCAGAGCCTATGAGCAGATGGCAAAGCTTAAGATTCCTGTCTCATCCCTCTCTTTGTTGTGTTCAGTGCTGCCTTAGACGTGGAGCTGTCGGATGATTCTTTCCCTCCAGAAGATTTTGGCATCGTCTCTGGCATGCTCAGCGTCAAGTGGGACAGGATTGCTCCATATCTTTTCATGTTTTGAAGTTTCTTCCAACTCTCTTTCTTGCCCCTGAGCATCCTGCAGCTTAGTCCTATCTTCATCTGCTGTCCCTGAAATTCCTTCCAGAGCCTGCACAGGGTGCCAGATCCAAACCCCTCCTCTTCTGGATGGTGCAGTGTAAAAACAAAGTTCCTTGCAGACAGGACCAGGTCCTGGGGTAGTTCCTCTGCCTGTGGAGGAGCAGCTGGGTCAGCCTTGGCTGGGTCTGGCTGTCTGCGACCACGAGCACTCAGATCTGTTAGCAGCACTGACTTTTTCACCTGGATCCTGGTTGCTCTTTCACATCTCCTCACTTTTCTTCCTGGGCTGAAATACAACAGTGTTCCTTAACGTCCAGCTCCCAGAGCGAACAATGTGTCCCACACTGTGGTTCTACGGCCTCTCAAGGCTGGGTACTTCAACTTCACCTCTGCCACCATCACGTACCTGGCACAGGAGGGTGCCCAGGTGGTGGTAAGTGGCTGATTTATGGGATCCCTGCAGACCCACCTGACCGTGCTCCCGGAGCTGCATGGTCGAGGTGATTCATGTCTGTGTTGCTCTCACCCTGCCCAGTTCTGGAGCAAGCAGGAAAGGTGGCAAAGCCTGTCTTTTCCCTGCCTTTTCCAGGTTGGCTTCACCAGTGCTCCTGGGCAGGGAGGAATCCTGGCTCAGCGTGATTTCGACAGGAGGTTCTCCCCTCACTTCGTAAGTACCTTTCAATTGACAATGGAAAAGTGCACCACGGCAGCTGCAGCCCAGTGTGGTGGCTTCCTGCTTGCACATGGTGTGTGTGACTTGCCCTGCAGTCACCTGGAGAGCTGCAGAGGGAGCTGGAGTTAGTTCCTGTCAGTTCTCCAGAGAACTATCACAGAAACAGCTCAGTTTCCATCCCAGCTCCCTCTGTGAAGAAGCTGCACTGTGGCATTTGAGGCAGAAAATCTGAGAGTAGAATCTTAAAACCAACTAGGCTGGAAGGGACCCACAAGGATTGTAGAGTCCAACTCCTGGCCCTGCAGAGGACAACCCCAGGAATCCCAATCATGTGCCTGTCAGCCCTATCCAAACTCCTTGAGCTCGTGTCAAGCTCGGTGCTGTGACCACTTTCTGAGGAGCCTCTTGCAGTGTCTGGGAGAGCATCCTCTGGGAGAAATAGCCTTTTCTTAATATCCAGCCTTTAATGCTGGCTGTCCTGACACAACTGCAGGCACTCCCTTGGGTCCTGTCACTGGTCACTGAGGGCAGAGGTCAGCGCCTGCCCCTCTGCTTCCCCATGTGAGGAAGCTGCAGACAGTGTGAGATCTCTCCTCCCTCTCCTCCTCTGACCTCATTGCTCTAAGACTCCCCTGGCCTGGATTGTTTTGACTTTTCTCTTAACAATTTCTCCCTCTAGCTGGACTGGGCGGCATTTGGCGTGATGACCCTGCCCTCCATTGGGATCCCCCTGCTGCTCTGGTACTCGAGCAAGAGGAAGTATGACACCCCCAAGAGCAAAAAGAACTGAGCAGAGTCCAGTGCTAGCAGCAGCAGTCCAGAGCTCGGGAAAGGACACCCCCAAACCCCCAAGAACAGCGGCTGGGTCAGGATCCATCCCCCGCGAGGTGCTGCCTGCATTGTGCTTCAGCCCTCTGGGCAAAGGATTCGGTGGCTGCTGCAGCAGCTGTGAGGTGTCCTCTGTTCAAATGGAGAAACAAGCAAACAGAAAAAAGAACAAGCAGAAGTCCCAAACTGCCTTGTCCAACCCTTTTGGAGGCAGAACCCCTTTCTCCTCTGCAGCTGCAGCAATCCGAGCAGCGAAGTGTGTTAGTGCCCAGAGGGGCCTGTCTGTGGGGCTCTGCCCCCTGTGCTGCCTCCAGCTCCCATTTGCCTGCTGCAGTTTTCTGCAGGGTGTCATATCTCAGGGTCCCCTCCAGGTGCTGCCTGCCCTGTGGGACAGAGATTGCTCTGCTAATGCCACAAACCTGATTTGATAGAGGATGTCACAGCTGCTGCTTTGTCCTGTTGATGCTGTTCTCTGACCCACCAGCCTGCCCAGGTCCATGGTGGGCTTGTAAAGCCATGAGGGTGGAGTGCAGGGAGGAGGATCAGGGTTAAATTCCTCGAGAATCAGGTGCACAGGCTGGGAAACTCTCCCTGCACTGGGGATGCTTTGCTTGACTATACCCACTCACAGCCCACTCGCCATGACAGGTTCCAGCTTTCTGCTCACAGTGGATCAGGACATGTTCTCTGCCATCAGCTCTTTTCCTGTGCCATTCTCTGACCCTCTGTCCCTTTGGATGACATGGAACCACCTGGGACACAAAATGGCCGTTGGTGGCTGAGGAAGGCTAAGGGCCCTGCTAAGAGGGGACACTGGAGCCCAGGGCACAGGCTCAGTTGGTTCCAGCAGCAGCTGGATCCAGTATTCCCAGTCTGCAGGAGGGGACTTAGCTGAGGCACAGAGCCAAGGGTGGGGAGCTGAACCACAGCAGCCCCACCAAGCCTTGCTGTGTCTTGAGCCACTACAAGGCCTTGGGGGGCTCCCCCTTCTTATTTTCCATAATTCCCAGGCCAGTGGACATGCAGTATTGTCCCTCAAATTCTTGTGGCTGTGTCAGGGGTCTTCCCACTGCAAGACTGAAGTCCTCATGTTTGCGGAGAACCCTTTTGGAATTCTTCTGCCAGTCCTGGCAGCACAGTATCACCATGTTCCCCTCCAGCAGTGCCTGTACCAGCCTCTGCAGCACCAGCCAGTCTGAGGGACATGGGACCTGTCACACCTGATGTGACCATTGACTACCCATTGGATAACATCCAGCACATGGATGTTGTTGGACAGAGCAGGAGACAGGCTCTGGTCACACCAGGGGGGTGACCCATGAAGCTGAGCCTACCCAGAACCCTCGGGGTCCCCATGGGTGCCAGGCTGGGGACACAAATGCCCCTCACCATCTGAGACTCTCACGGGGGGGTTGACCACTGCCAGGTCTGTCACACATGTAGGTGCCACTCTCAGTGACAGAGAAGTTGTCATGTCTCTCCTGCCCCCAGCACTGCCCGTCCTTGTACCAGGTGGTGGCACCAGTGAGCCCTGGCAGGTCAGTGTCACCCGGTCCCACAGCACTGGCGTCCAGGGAGGCTCTACGAGGAGCTGGGTGGTCTGAGTGCCTGTGGGTGACAGGGGACACCAGCCTGCCAGGGCCAGTGTGGGGCTGGGGACAGCGGGATGGGGACGTGGCATCCCCTGAGGACTCACCAGTGAGGCCGAGGGTCTGGGCTGGAAGAGAGAAAGGACAGGGCTCAGTGGGGGTGGCACTGCAGGTACAGCGGCAGAAGGGCATGGGGTGTGAGGGCTGTCCCCAAAGTGTCCTTGTGTGACGTGGACCCCTTGGAGACAGGGACACTGTGGCCACCCTGTAGTGAGGCAGGGCACGGGGACGCTGGGGACACCATGGCCACGCCATACTGTCAAAGATCACGTCCACCAGCCCCCTGATGCCTCCCCAAATCCCTGTCCCACCATTAATGTCCCCACCTTCCTGCCCCAATGACCCCGGTCACCTCACGCACAGGCTCTCCTGGCACTGGGGACTTGAGGGAACCCTGCAGTCCCCCTGTGCCAACTCCCCTCCCTATCCCCGGGGGGTGAAGCCCATGCCCAGGGTGCTCACCCCACAGGAGCAGTGCCACCTTCCCGACCATCTCGGTGTCCCCAGCCATGTGCACTGGCTGTCACTCACTGCTGTGGCCACTGCTCCACTGGGTGGTGGCTCTTTGGATGAAGGGGAAGGAAGCGAGGTCACCTCTTGTCCCCATGTGTAGGTGGCCCTTGGTCAGGGCAGGGTGGGGACCTTGTGGGACATGGGGTGATGGTGGGACATGGTGGGAACATTGTGTTGCCTGAATTTGGAGGCTGAGGCTGTGTAGGGAGCCAGGGAGGGGTGTCCAGGGCAATGGGGTGCCCAGGGATGGAGTCCCATGGGAATGGGGATCCCAAGGCTTGGGTAGACTCAGAATCGCAGATGAGGGTCCCAAAAGAATGTGACCTCCAGGGATTTGTGATCATGGGGTGGACGCTGAGGAATGGGGATGCCAGGGGAAAGGAGGGACTCTTGTGAGAATGGGGGTCCTGGGGGAATCAAGGGAAGGCGTGTCACAGGGTCTGGAATTACCAGGATGGGGTTCCTTGGGAATGGGTATCCCAAGGAATTGCAGTCCAGGGCTGGGGGGGGGGGGGGGGGGGGGGGCCAGGGAATGGGAGATAGAAGGAAATGAGATTCCATGGTTGGGATCCCAGGGGAATGGGGATGGCAGGGATGGGCAGTGGCTGGGTGGGCCCATGGGTCACAGCTTCTTCCCTGGATGCCTCAGATTTTGGGATGACCCAGGGCCCAGCATTGCCTCCCTGGGGTGCTCATTTCCTGTGCATGCATCACATGGAGGTCCTGGGTAGCTTGGCCTCTGTGCCCTCCCCTGCCCTTGTCCTTTTCTTCTCTTTATTTTTCTAATTTTTCCTCATTTTTGTGCCATGTCCCCTCACCCCTGGTTCCTGGCTCAGCAATCCCGGGGAGCACATGAGCAGGGAATGGACTGGGGGACCCAGGTGAGGGGGGAAAATGGGGTGAGGTGGTGCAGGGAAGAGTAGGGAGGCCATGTGGGATGGAGGTGTTGGGCTGTGCCCTCTCAACACTTTCTTTTTCCTGGACAAGAAGGAAGAGGCCATTTGTGCTGAATCAGATGGGGAAAGGGGGGGTTCTGTCTTGGAGGGCACATCCAGAGGCTCCTGTCCTGGGAGGTCCCTGTTCTGGGGTTCACCTGAGGGAAACCAGTCCAGGGGGTGACACATCATGGCATGGGGCATCCTGTCCATGGGGGTGGTGGTGCCACCTGTCGAAGAGGTGGCACATCTTCCGGACTCCTGTCTATCCAAGTGTGAGGCCCAGCCATGGCCCAGCCCCACTGCACAGGGATGGCCATTGCCCAGCCCTGCTCTGCCCAGCCCCAGGTTACAGCCAGCACCTGAGGGTCCCCCCCGCCCTTTTGGCTTTGATTCTGGCAGCTTTAGAGCTGCTGCAGAGGTGAGAATTCTGGGGGCGGAAAAGGCCTGCCTGTGGTTTGCTCAGCCCTGCAAGAAGCACAAACCCCAAAGGGAGCCCAAGTAGTGGCTCTGAGAGGGCCTTTGATGGTTTTCAGAGCAGGACTGGATGGAAACCCCCCATGCAAGGGCAGCTGTGAGGGAACCAGTCTGGAAATGCAGCAATTGATCATTTGTTCCCTCTTGCCAAGGGACTGAGAGAACCACAAAATTACTGAAATCCCACAACAATCTGCTCAACAGCCTGACCTGGACCCTCCTTCTCCTTCCTGCCGGATGCCCCGCACCCACCACAGCCGCTCTCTCACTGCCCTCTTGCACCTGGATGGGGAGAGAAAATTGAACAAAAGTTTTCTGGTTTGAGACAAGGACCAGGAGAGATCACTCATCAAATCCTGTCACGTGAAATGCAGGCTCAGAATTAGCAACATGAATTGAATATTTGCTGACAAAATCAGAGCAGGATAAAGAGAAGTCAAATAAACCCTTCAAAACACCTTCCCCCCCACCCCAACCTCCCTCCAGCAGCACAGGGAGATGGGAAGGGGGGCCCCGGGCAGTTTGGCACAGGTTGTTTCTGCTGCTGCTCAGCCAGAGTAGTTGCAGTTCTTGCCCTTCACCAAACTGGGGTCCCTGCCTTCCATGGGAGTCTCTTCTCCAGCGATTTCTTCAGTGGGAGTCCTTCCTGCGGGCTGCAGCTCTGCCCCAGCTGCTCCAGGCTGAGGCTCTTCCTTGCCCAGGCTCAGTGCCCCAGGAACTGCTCAAGCAGGGGCTTTCTATGGGCTCACAACTCCCTTTGGGCATCCTCTGCTTGGCCAGGGGCTCCTGCAGGGCTGCAGGGGGGTGTCTGCTCCCTGGAGACCCCCACAGGTTTTGGGCAAATCTCTGGAGACCCTTATGCCCCTCTTTCCTTCCTGCAGGGCTGTTCCTCTCGCAGCCTTGGAGTGAAAACCAGGTTCACTCTCCTGTGAAAATTTTAAAAGTTTAATAAAGGACAATAGGAGACAAGGACCATAAAGCAAAGGTTGGCACTCAGCCAAGAGCATGCTGTTCTCTTTGGGGATCCCCCTTAAATACCTTTTCCCTTATATCAGCCTGTTGGGTATTCATAGACCCTTATGCATAGTAAACTTTTCCCCCAAATTAGTTTACATGTTCCAAGAACTGTTCAGCATATCTCCACCTTGGATCCGCCTTTTTAGAGGATGCATATTTCTGGGTTGTGCTTTTAGTCCTTTTTTATCATCATCTTCAGTTTTGGGCCTTGGTCCACACTGTCTTCAGATGGTGAGTGCTGATAGTTGGCAGATCTGTAGCAGGTGTCCTCATCCTATGTTCATCGGATGTTATCCAATCCAAGCAGGCATTTTAACACAAGCATACTTATATCAGCTATTTCACTACTATGTCTAAGATTAATTAATACCAGAAATAAAAATTATATCTTTACAACAAAGCTACTTTCACATCCCACATATAAAATCCATTTTAACATTTGCAAAAAGCCAATATTATAATATGTATCTATCCTCTTGGCTGCCTCAATTCCATCTCTGCCTTCCCTTGGATTTGCCCTTCCCAGCTCTCAGAGCTTCCACACCAACATCCCCGTCCCCCATGCCCCGTCTGCTCCAGGACATCCT